AGAAACATGTATAAGACATGCCCCTACTTTTGAGGAAGGTGCCTTAATGCTGATGTGCAGGCCCTGGACTTAGGGTCCAGGACTCCGGTTTGAGCCCTGACTACTACTTGCTGGGCACATTACTTCTCGGAGCCTTGGATTCGTCATCTGTAAATAACAATAAGAAGACTGAACTCCCAAGGTCCTTGTGAGGGTCAAATGAGATAAATATGGAAAATGCCTCATTAATAGTGGATGTTCAATGCATGCTAAATGACTGTGGATCAGGTTTGCAATCAGGGAGGGGAGTTCAGACATGCCCACAGCAAGTGTAATCCAGTCCAGGAGTGTAACAAAGCCCTGTTCTTGGGGTCTCTATAGGAGTGGCCACTTCTGGCAGAGGTGACTGGGGCAGACTTTGTGGGGAGGTGCCTGATGCATGATTTTCATTCAGCAAATGTTTGCGGAATGAATGGGGTGAACTGGAGCCAGGACCTGCAGGAAGGGTAAGGTTTCAACAGGTGCAGGTGACAAGGAGGTGCTTCAAGAGAGGAGGGCACAGTCCTGGGGTGGGGTGGGGAAGGCAGCTAGTGCCAGGTGGGGAAGGCTGAGCCTCAGCCACCAGATGAGGAATTTGACCTTTATTCTGAAGGCAACGGGAAGCTCTGAGCTGGGGAGTGACAGGATCAAAGCAATGTTTGTAGAAGATCAATCTGGCTGGGCATGGGAGAGGACACCTGAGCGAGCAGGAGAGGTGCTAGGGGGCAGGGACACACCAGGCAGAGGGAGAGTGTGTATATGTCTAGGAGGCTCAGGACAGGCAATGATGTCACCCCCTTCCACTCTGCAGAGGGGGCCTCTCGCACCAGCCTGTCTCCAGGGCAGGTCTCACCAGCCTGCTAGGAGGGAGCTTGGCAGGGAGGTGGGGAATTTCTCAGGGACACAGAGAACATGAGAACACTGCCTCCTTTCTCCTCCTTTGTCCCCTACCCGCCGCCCAGCTCAGAGTACTGGGCCCGGAGGGGGAGAGAAAGGCAGCCCTGGAATGTGAACCTGGGTCCCTCTGTTGGCAGGTTCCACCTCCTGTCCTCTAAGATAGAGGGCTGGAAGAGACAAAGAAGCTGTTAGGCCCCATTAAGAACTGTGCATAACCCCTAAAACAGGAACAGAGGGATAATTGAGGTGATAGTATTACCCAGCCCTGGAGCCCAGCTTTCCTGAAAGGGGAAATTTCTGGCCTGGGGCTGGCTGGTAGGAATCTACCTTTGTGGAGATGAATCATCCTAAACTATCTCTTTGACCCCACCTCTGCCAAAGAGATCCCTTTTGCTCCAATCTCATTCCTGAATGTACCACACTTCAGGTCTCAATGGGGCAAGGCCAGGATGATGCAGGGGGATATCTGCAGGGGAGGAGGTGTTGAACAGGTTTCCGAAAATGGTGAGCATTTCAGACCTATATGATTCCATTCATACCTAAGTGCTGAATGGTCCCACAGTTTTAGGTATGCTTCGGGGCCCACAATCTCTCCCAGCCTCCAGCCCTGACTCAGCCGGAGCCCCTGGGAGCCAGAGATAGCGATCCCAGCTCTTCAGAGGAAGGAGATAAGGTTTAAGGCTCTGGACAGGCTCACTCTGGGGAGACTGTGCATACACACCTCCTCCAGCTGCATTCCTCCCGCGCCTGACCTTGTCTTACTCAGTCTTTTCCAGGAATTACCACAGGAAGTAGTGAGCTGTCTGAACGCACCATTTTCAGAAACTTGCCTAGCACCTCCTCCCCTGAAGGTATCCCCTCCATCATCCTGGCCTTGCCCCATGGAGGTCTATACCCCATCTTTTTCTTGGCTTCTGGGCAGGCCTGATCTGGTCTAGGACCAGTGACAAGGGGGCCTAGCCCTGTTCCTTTTCCACAGAAGCACCCTCCCCATTCCTGGTCACTCACTTCTGCTCCAATGACTCCTTGAATTAGCAAGTCCTTCCTTCGGTCTACCCTTTCACTTCCTTTCAGTGCTTAGTTAAGGAGAGGATGCTCCTCTGTGCATTGGCTGTTGCCTCAGACCAGAGAGTACAGCTGAGGATCCGCTTCACTCCAGGAGCCCTTCAGCTGAGAGGAGGAAGGCAAAAGAGAGAAGGAAGGGTGAATTCTTAGAGAAGAGTGCATGGTCTTTTCCCATCACAGTAGAGTCCTATACAACAATTAGCTTTACAAACATCATCATATAATTAATTTTATTTTTAAATTTTTATTTATTTATTTTTTCGAGACGGGGTCTGGCTCTGTCACTCAAGCTGGAATGCAGTGGCCTGTCATAGTTCACTGCAGCCTCAATCTAATTTATTTTACAGATGAGAGAACAAAAGCTGAGAGCCCAAATCAAGTATGATTTTAAGTATAATGCTTTTGGCCAGGTGCGGTGGGTGGCTCACACCTCGGCTCAGGCTGAGGCAGGCGGATCACCCGAGGTCAGGAGTTTGAGGCCAGCTTGGCCAACATGGTAAAATCCCAACTGCACTGAAAAAATACAAACATTAGCCAAGCGTGGTGGTGGGCACCTGTAATCCCAGCTACTTGGGAGGCTGAGGCAGGAGAATCGCTTGAACCCAGGAGGCAGAGGTAGCAGCAAGCCGTGATCATGCCACTGCACTCCAGCCTGGGCAACAGAGCGAGGCTCCGTCTCAAAAAAAAAAAAAAGTATAATGCTTTTCTCACTACACTGCAAGCACTTTAGGCAATTCAAAGCTCTAAAATCCATATTAATTTAAATGTAATAATACAGATACTTTTAAAATAATTTCAAAAATTAATAATTAATAATAAAAATAATTTAGAAATAAATGGTCCTGCCCCTTCATTATATAGATGAGGCCGCTGTAGTTCAGAGAGGAGCGGTAACTTGTCCAATGTCACACAGCAATTAAGCGACCGAGTTGAGACATAGGCTATTTTATTTCCAAACTTATGTTTTCCTCCTACTGCACATTGTTCTAGGAATTGTCTAAAACAATTCTCAAAACAAAAATTTAACTTAATTTCATTTAATTTTCATCATAAACCTTAGAACACTCTGATTTTAATCACACATCCTAGAGCACTTTGGAGGTAGTGGTAGGAATTTGCAGAAGTGCAGTGATGTGAGGGAGGCTCAGCTCACAGGGTGAGTGGGAGGGCAGAGAGCTGGGAGCCTGGCTACCGAGCCCTCACTCAGCTGTCCTGGGCCTCCTGAGTCTCCCCAGATCAGCGAGGAAGCTCCTGAAGGTCTTCTGGAAGGCACCTTCCTTTATCGGAGGTGCTGGCCGATCCGTTCAAGCTCTCATGCCTGCTGCAGAATCTGCCTTCCTGCCTCCTGCATCTCCCAGCCTGTCTGCCTAGATCCAGGGGACTGGGAAACTAAACTTTGGGTTTTGGAGCCAGAAGAACTGGGTTGAATTCTGACCCTCGCCCTTGCATGCTACATGACTTAAGAAGTGGATAGAAAGTTTCTGAGCTTTCATATTCTCATCTGTAAAATGAGGCTATTTGTACTTTCCTCATAGGTTTGTTTTCTTATTTATTTTGAGACGGAGTCTTGCTCTGTCACCCAGGCTGGAGTGCAGTGATGCAAATTCGGCTCACTGCAATGTCTGCCTCCTGGGTTCAAGCAATTCTCCTGCCTCAGCCTCCCGAGTAGCTGGGATTACAGGCATGTGCCACCACACCTGGCTAATTTTTGTATTTTTAGTAGAGACGGAGTTCAGTCATGTTGGCAAGGTTGTTCTTGAACTTCTGAACTCAAGTGATCCACCCACCTCAGCCTCCCAAAGTGTTAGGATTACAGGTGTGAGCCACCGCGCCCGGCCTCCTGATAGATTTAATTGTGAGGAGTAAATGCGGTTATAAAAACCTATGGTACAGGGAGTGCCTGGCATATGGTACTGTCTTCAGGGAAAGAGGGAGGTATAAGGTAGGGAGGAGAGATATGGCTTTGGAGGCAGACAGGGTCCAGTTCTGGTTCTCCCATTTGCTACATTTTTTTTTTTTTTTGAAACAGGGTCTCACTCTGTCATCCAGTGCCATTGTTACAGGTGCAATTATGGTACACTACAGCCTCAAACTCTTGGGCTCCAGTTATCCTCCCGCTTAGCCTCCCAAGTAGCTGGAACTACAGGTGTGCACCACTCTGCTTGGGTAATTAGAACAATTTTTTTTTGTGGAGGAGGAGGGTAGAGACAGGGTCTTGCTATGTTATCCAGGCTGGTCTTGAACTCCTGGCCTCAAGCCATTCTCCCACTTTGGTCTCCCAAAGTGCTGGGATTATAGGTGTGAGCCACTGTGCCAAGCAGCACACATTGCTTTTAATCCTGAGGCTCAGTTTTCTCCACTCTAAAATGCAGATAATGCTTATTTTATAGTTTCTGTAAGAATTAAAAGCTTTACCACCTTAGGGAAACTCCTAGGCCATGGGGGAATAGCTGAACCCATGCCCAGCTCTGGGAGATCAGGCCAGAGCTGGGGATGCACAATCAGAGGCTCCAGGCTAGAGGGCTGGAGGGAGAAGCCTGGGAGGAATAGTCCATCTGGGAGGGCTTCCTGAAGGAAGTCCTTGGGGGTAGAGCCAGGCTAGAGGGACACAGAGAGAGAGGAAGGAGGGACCCTGGGCCTGTGCGCTGCATAAGTGAAGAGGGCAGGACCTGGCAGTCAAGTAGGATAGGGTCAGGCCATGGGGGCCTGGGGATGGATGGTTAGTGTGGTGACATGTAGGAACCACCGAAGCCATGAGGCTGTGGGTCCAGGAGGAGGACTAGGGAGTTTGACTTTTGCAGCTGGACAATTGTGAGCAAAAAGTACTGGTCCTCTCCCTCGGAGAGGCTTTCCCTCCTCTGCCTTCCATGTTCTGGAGGCTGCTTTTGCTACTCAAGCTTCTCTTAATGTTCCCTGGATGGTCACCCAGGAAACTTGGGGAGGCAAGGAAGGAGAGAGAAGGTAGAATGTGGCCTTGGGGAATAGATGGCCTCTGCCTGGAGTTCTGTAGGGAATGCGTAAACACACAATTAGTTGTGTTGCCATGGGAGCTTGACTAACAGGTCCCTGAGGCTAAACTGGCCTGGGCTGGCCCAGGCTTAGCCCATTCCAACCATCCAGGTCAGCAGATTTTCCTTATGGCCTATGAATGGGTCATTGTATCTGGGTTGGGGTTATCTTAGTCCTTAGAGACCAGGGAATGGGGAGGGGGGCAGGTTGGTTATAGAGTGATGGGTAGCAGGTCTTTCCTTTAGCTGAGCTGCGTGCTCTCTAAGTCTCTCTGTCTCATTTTCTCTCTTGCAGACACATACGCACACATGCAGGGTCTTGCTATGTTGCTGTGTTGTCCAAGCTGGTCTTGAACTCCTGGCCTCAAGTGATCCTCCCTTGGCCTTCCAAAGTACTGGGACTACAGGTGTGAGCCACTGTGCCTGGTTGGGCACAGGCTGACCTGGCAGGCTGGTTCAGCCATTTGTGAATTCGTTCATCATATATTGGTGGAGTGCCTGTTAGATGCCTATCTAATGCTGTGGATCTGACGGTCAACAACATAGTCAAGGTCTCTGCCCTCATGGGGCTGTCCTTTTTTTTTTTTTTTTTTTTCAGATGGAGTTTCGCTCTTGTTGCCCAGGTTGGAATGCAATGGCACTATCTCAGCTCACCACAACCTCTGCCTCCTGGGTTCAAGTGATTTGCCTGCCTCAGTCTCTCAAGTAGCTGGGATTACAGGCATGCGCCACCATGCCTGGCTAATTTTTTTTTTTTTTTTTTTGAGACAGAGTCTCGCTCTGTCACCCAGGCTGGAGTGCAGTGGCATGATCTGGGCTCGTTGCAAGCTCCGCCTCCCAGGTTCACACCATTCTCTTACCTCAGCCTTCCAAGTAGCTGGGACTACAGGTGCCCACAACCACGCCTGGCTAATTTTTTGTATTTTTAGTAGAGATGGGGTTTCACCGTGTTAGCCAGGATGGTCTCGATCTCCTGACCTCGTGATCTGCCCGTCTTGGCCTCCCAAAATGCTGGGATTACAGGCATGACTACTGCTCCCGGCCTAATCTTGTATTTTTAGTAGAGACAGGGTTTCTCCATGTTGGTCAGGCTGGTCTCGAACTCTCCACCTCAGGTGATCTGCCTGCCTTGGCCTCCCAAAATGCTGGAATTACAGATGTGAGCCACTGTGCCCAGGCTGGGGCTGTCCATTTTGATGGGGAGAGTCTCCCAAGTCTGCCAGAATCCCTACTGTAGGAGAGGTAGTACAGATGCTCAATAAATAAATGTAGTATAGCTCTTTTGGATTGCTAAATAAAATAATAAACATGTTTTGAATCCTCCCTTTTGAGTTATTGACATTATTGCATCTCTTAATGGAGATAATTGGATCCTAACTATAAAACAGCATAATTGAAAAGAGAATGTTCAAGCTCTAAAATTACTTCAGACTTGGGTTCAATTCCTGTCTCTGTCACACTAACTGAAGGACCTTGGGCTTTAGTTTCCTTGTCTGTAAAATGGGAACAATGTTACCTTCCTCATGGATTAGTTTAGGATTATAAATAATAGGTGCAGTGGCTCACCCCTGTAATCCCAGCTCTTTGGGAGACTGAGGCAGGCGGATCACTTGAGGCCAACAGTTCGAGGCCAGCCTGGTCAACATGGTAAAACCCTGTCTCTACTAAAAATACAAAAACTTAGCAGAGAGTGATGGTTCGTGCCTGTAATCCCAGCTACTTGGGAGGCTGAGGCAGGAGAATCACTTGAACCCAGGAGGTGAAGGTTGCAGTGAGCCGAGATCGTGCCACTACATGCACTCCAGCCGGGGTGACAGAGTGAGACTCTGTCTCCAAAAAAAAAAAAAAAAAAAAAAAAGAAAAGAAAGCCATCATGATCACCATGGTTCCCAATCCTAATCACTACCACTGCCACCATCACTGGCAAGGAAAGGAGCCGTGGGTTGAGAGTTGGGGAAAGCAAGTGGGCGTCAGTAGGCAGGGCTCCGTTTGCATGGCTAGCTCCCTAGGAATTGGATTTGCAAGCTTCTGTTTTGCATAACAGAGGATTTTTACATGCCATTTCTTTATTGCTACCCTGTAAGCTTCTCCTTATAGACCCAGTTGCCACCTCCTTCTAGTTACCTTCCACCTGACCACCTACCCTGGGAAGAGGCATTAGACACTGTTCCGTTCTGCAAGGAGGTTATTTCTTTTTTTTTTTTTTTTTGAGACGGAGTCTTGCTCTGTCGCCCAGGCTGGAGCGCAGTGACCAGATCTCGGCTCACTGCAAGCTCCGCCTCCCGGGTTCCCGCCATTCTCCTGCCTCAGCCTCCGGAGTAGCTGGGACTACAGGCGCCCGCCACCGCGCCCGGCTAGTTTTTTGTATTTTTTAGTGGAGACGGGGTTTCACCGTGTTAGCCAGGATGGTCTCGATCTCCTGACCTCGTGATCCACCCGTCTCGGCCTCCCAAAGTGCTGGGATTACAGGCTTGAGCCACCGCGCCCGGCTGCAAGGAGGTTATTTCATGCAGGGAAACACAAGGCTTAAACTCTCACAGGGCAAATGTATCAAAGTGATGTGAACACAAGTTCCATGGGTGAGGGTGGTCTGAAGGTGGTGAGGGGATGGGAGAAATTGTGTGGAGAAAGGCTTTGGGAAAGGCTGGGGTACAAGCAGGGAAAGTTGGTGAGAGTCAAACTAACATGTCTTGAAAACCTGCTATTTTAGGCACTGTTCCTTACCTGATGATCATATCAGTCTTCTGAGGTAGTTGTTACTATCTGCATTTTCAGCTGGTGAAGTAACTCTTTACACCATTAGGAAGTGGCTGCGAAATTCTTTTGGTTGCACCCACTGTCCTTTGGGTTTTGGTCACACATGGCTGTGGGGCAGCAGAACGTGCATGGGCAGGCTTGGGGCAGTTCCACCTGTGCGGCGTCTGGCAGGGCTCAGACGCCAGTTCACGGCTGTGTGAATGTGGACACATTTCCATCTCTGCCTGGTGGGATCTTCATGAATTTAAACGGGGTGATGCATGCAGCGCATACAGTAGGCCCACATGTTTCTGAGGCTCCAACAACCCAGCTGATACAGTAGAGGCCCCTTGACCTTCTGCCTGAACCCTCCTCATGAACTTCCCAGTTGATGCAGACTCTATTTTCTTCTTCTTCTTCTTCTTCTTCTTCTTTTTTTTTTTTTTTTTTTGAGACAGAGTCTCACTGTGTCGCCCAGTCTGGAGTGCAGTGGCGCCATCTCGGCTCACTGCAAGCTCCGCCTCCCGGGTTCACGCCATTCTCCTGCCTCAGCCTCCGAGTAGCTGGGACTACAGGTGCCTGCCACCACGCCTGGCTAGTTTTTTGTATTTTTAGTAGCGATGGGGTTTCACCGTGTTAGCCAGGATGGTCTCGATCTCCTGACCTCATGATCCACCTGCCTTGACCTCCCAAAGTGCTGGGATTACAGGCTTGAGCCACCGCGCCCGGCTTATTTTCTTCTTCTTCTTCTTTTTCTTCTTCCTTTTTTTTTTTTTTTTTGAGATGGAGTCTTGCTTTGTCACCCAGGCTGAGTGCAGTGGCGCGATCTCGGCTCACGGCAACCTACCTTCCCGAGTTCAAGCATTTCTCCCTGCCTCAGCCTCCTGAGTAGCTGGGATTACAGGCGTGTGCCACCACGCCCAGCTAATTTTTTATATTTTTAGTAGAGACAGGGTTTCGCCATATTGGCCAGGCTGGCCTTGAACTCCTGACCTCAGGTGATCTGCCCGCCTCAGCCTCCCAAAGTACCGGGATTACAGGCATGAGCCACTGTGCCTGGCCGCTGACTCTCTTTTCACAAAGCTCCAACTTTTGGGAAGTCATTGATTACAGGGAGCAGAAGTCTCTCTCTGGCGGAATCCTTCCTATTGGTGCTGGTTATATCCCTTGGGTCACACAGATGAACGTCCCCTCTTCCTCCAGGCAGTCCTGAGGTTTAACACATGTTGGGAACCTCTTCTCCAGGGCTGGCACTCCCAACTCCTGTGCTGTGTCTCACTGGAATATGGTTCCCTTTCTCCTCACTATCCCAGGCACCTCCTTGCATCGGTCAGTCCTAGGAGTCAGATAAGAGCCAAACCCTGCTCCAGAATGGTCAGCATGCAAGAAGGCGGGCTTGTCCACACTTGCTTCTGCTGCTGAGGACCGTGGTGGGTTTTGAGATAGCCTCATCGTGCTGTTACTGGAAGGAAGAGGTATGTGTGGGATGAACCAAGCTAAGAAGGCAAGTGTAAACTGCATGTTCAGGGGAAGGTCTACACATTTACTCTGCAGCATCTACTCTGGGCCAGTGCCATGCCAGGCAGATGCTGGCACTGAGACAGGAACCTGACACAGACTCTGCAGGAACCTGCTCTGTCTCCAAGGAGCTGTGTCTAAAACTGATTGGATGACACGATAGTAAGCCCAGTGGCTCATAGCAAGTGCATGGAACAGTCTAGCTGGAACAGAAGGTGCTAGGGTTCAGCAGGGAGCTGCTGGAAGTGCAGCTGAGTGACCTTGGACTCATGCCCATGCAGTCAACTGCCACATCCTGTTGGTTCTAGCTTGAGTCTATCCCTATCTTCCTGCTCCTACCACACCACAGGCCTCCAGACTTGCTTTCTGCAGTAGCCTCCTTTATAGTCTCCTGCCCCTAGTTTTTGCCCCTACCATCTACCCTGAACACCCCAGCCAGCTTAATTTTCCTAAAGCACTGCTTTAAGCTCATCACCCTGCTCCTCCCTTCCTGCAGCCTGCAGAAGAAAGCTCTGTCTGGTCTCCGAAACCCCTAGTCCCACCCTCCTCCCCAGTATCTAGCCTTTCTACTCTTCCGTAGGAATCCTGCTCCTGTCCAATGGTTTATCACATTTCCAGATCTTTCCATCCATATCTTTCTTTTCTTTTTTTTTTTTTTTTTGAGACGGAGTCTCGCTCTGTCGCCCAGGCTGGAGTGCAGTGGCCGGATCTCAGCTCACTGCAAGCTCCGCCTCCCGGGTTCACGCCATTCTCCTGCCTCAGCCTCCCGAGTAGCTGGGACTACAGGCGCCTGCCACCTCGCCCGGCTAAGTTTTTTTGTATTTTTATTAGAGACGGGGTTTCACTGTGTTACCCAGGATGGTCTCGATCTCCTGACCTCGTGATCCGCCCGTCTCGGCCTCCCAAAGTGCTGGGATTACAGGCTTGAGCCACCGCGCCCGGCCCATATCTTACTTTTCTAAGCTCAGCTTGTTCTAAGGGCCCTCTCCTTCACCTGAAGTCCTATAGCATACATCTGAATCATTTATTTATCTGAAATCAATATTCCGTTGATAAGGTACAGAAGGTAGACTTTGGCCAGGTAGTATTTGTATTTATACAAGGGCTCAGTGTGTACACGGATATCTTTATAACTGGCCTCTCTGGTTCCACCTCTTTATTGGTGTACATTTTGGTTAGTGTATGTAGTGAACATCTGTTGTTTCTGCCCGTCCAGCATTTCTTTTACTTTCTTTCTTGTTTTTTTTTTTTTTTGAGACGGAGTCTTGCTCTGTTGCCCAGGCTGGACTGGAGTTCAGTGCTGCGATCTTGGTTCACTGCAGCCTCCGCCTCCTGGGTTCAAGCGATTCTCCTGTCTCAGCCTTCCGAGTAGCTGGGACTACAGGCATGCACCACCATGCCTGGCTGATTTTTTTGTATTTTTAGTAGAGACAGGGTTTCACCATGTTGACCGGGCTGGTCTCAACCTCCTAACCTCAGGTGATCCGCCCACCTCAGCCTCCCAAAGTGCTAGGATTACAGGTGTGAGCCATGGTGCCCGGCCCTGTTCAGCATTTCTTCCTGGTCTTTTGGCGAATCACATTTTTTTGCCCCCTTTCTCTATAGGTTGGGCGGGGCTGATCATCCCTCTGCAGGGTCTTGTTACGTGATCTAGTCTAGTCTAGAATACATAATAGTATTGTATTCCCCTGGCCACAGGGATTGGTTCAGAGATGAGCATGTGACCTACATCAGCCTCGTGAGAGTCAGCCCTGGAACTTCAGCAGGAAGCATCGGAAAGAGGTTCTCCCTTACTGGTCGCCCTTCTTGCAGCCGGGAGATGGCCTGCCCGAGGACGAAGCTAACATGGAGGAAAACAGCCAAGAGATGGGGAGGAAGAGCGTTGCCTGATGATATCACTGAGCCCCTTATCTGGCTAGGCTGAAAGCCAAATGCACCCTTGAACTTCTCAATTATAAGAGCAAATAAATGATCTTTTTATGCTTAAGTCTGTTTGAGTTGGGTTTTAGTCATATGCAATCAAGAATGTGTATCCATTGGCTGGGAGCTGGGGCACACGCTTGTAACTTTGGGAGTTATAGCACTTTGGGAGGCCAAGGTGGGAGGATCACTTGAGGCAAGGATTTTTTGTTTGTTTGTTTTTGAGACAGAGTTTCACTCTTGTTGCCCAGGCTGGAGTGCAATGGCTTGATCTCAACTCACTGCAACCTCCGCCTCCCGGCTTCAAGCGATTCTCCTGCCTCAGCCTCCAGAGTAGCTGGGATTACAGGCATGCGCCACCATGCCAGGCTAATTTTTTTGTATTTTTAGTAAAGACATTTTCTCCATGTTGGTCAGGCTGGTCTCGAACTCCCAACCTCAGGTGATCTGCCTGCCTTGGCCTCCCAAAGTGCTGGGATTACAGGTGTGAGCCACTGCACCTGGTGGATTTGTTTTGTTTTGTTTGTTTTGTTTTTGAGATAGAGTCTTGCTCTGTCGCCAAGGCTGGAGTGCAATGGGCGATCTTGGCTCACTGCAATCTTTGTCTCCCTGGTTCAAGCGATTCTTCAGCCTCAGCCTCCTGAGTAGTTGGGATTACAGGTGCCCGCCACCATGCCCAGCTAATTTTTGTATTGTTAGTAGGGATGGGGTTTCACCACGTTGGTCAGGCTGGTCTTGAACTCCTGACTTCAGGTAATCAACTGGCCTTGGCCTCCTAAAGTGCTAGTATTACAGGCGTGAGCCCCCTTTCTCAGCCTGAGGCCAGGATTTTGAGACCAGCCTGGGCAACATAGTGAAACCTCTGTCTGTGTAAAAGAAAAAACAAACAAACGTGCAACTGTGTGTTTGGGTTTGGATGTGTGTTATATACGGCTGTGTGTGCACAGGTGTGTGTGTGATGTTCGTAGGAAGGTGGTATGCACGGAACTCTGATGGGTGGTACACACATATGCTTGTGCCTGAGATGAGGATCTGAGGTGGTACTGCACCTTGGCCTGTGTGTCAGGCCATGCAAGTGAGAGGGCAGGTGGGGTGTATGTGAACCTGAGAGAGTGTGTGAGGGACAAGAGGGCGTGTGTGCTATAGACTGAGGTTGTGTGCCCACAGGGTGGGAGACGGGCCTGTTAAGGGGGCTGTTTGTTCTGGGAGATAACCATCAAACATGTGTGCTTTGGATTTATATGGATACACGCACGTAAAGACACCTGCTCAAAAACACCTGCTTATCATCATTCACCTCTACCATCCTGAAAATCCTCATTGTTTTCAGACTGACGCCAAATTTTTTAGAGTCCTTGAAAGGTACATAGAATCATAAACCTTTTGTTGATGGTGGTGGTGAAGCGGGGAATACCAGAATCGGGTGAACACCTGCTGAACTCAGGTGTTCCGCCCGCCTCGGCCTCCCAAAGTGCTGGGATTATAGGTGTGAGCCACCACGTCTGGCCTGATGGTCACTTCTCAACAGGGACTTTCAGGAAATACCTCGCTTTGGCTAAAGGAGGCTCCTGCCTCCTTTGGTTTGAGAGGACCCAAATAGCTCATCTCCTGAAATGTTTTAGACTAGTGTCTGATAAGCAAATATGTGGATAAATGAATGGGTGAATACAGGAAGGAATAAAGGCCTCTAGTCCCTGCCTGCCACTCTCACCTTTGTCCTCAGGTTGCCCAGCAGGAAAATCAGAACAGTGGGCCTCTGGATATCAGCTCCAGTGCTAAGCACTCAGGCCAGGGGAATCCTCAGGGCTGGGGTAGGGGTGGGCAGGATGCCTATAGCTGAGCCCCAGGTCCTTCCTGTTTGTCCTTCCTCTCCTGCACTCCTGTCCAGTTGCCTGAACACCATGAGGGCTTCCCCTATCTCAATGTCAGCTTCTGAAGTTTCCTTGAAATCCTTGAAATCCTCTCAATAACTTCCACTTCCCGTCACTCAAGTCTCCGGCACTGCTGTCCTCACTGTCAGGCATGGGACCCATTTGTGTCTGTCCTCTCACAGTCTCTGTCTCTGTGGCCCTGGCCAACGGTGGTGGAGTGTCAGGTTCTGGGGACTGAACCACTCTGTTTTCCTTTCTGAGGGACAGAGTATATCACCCTTTATAAGCAGGAACGCTGCAGGGCTCTGGATTTGAGCTCTGGCCTATTTCCTCTGGGAAGAGGAAGTAATTGTGTTCCTAAGGGTCTTGGTGGTGGGACCAGAGCTAAAGCATGGTGCCTGACTCTGACTGCACAGAGGAAGCCTTGAAAATGCAGACAGGGTGTGGCCTGAGCATGTGTACTTTTATAATCTCCCACGGGCAATCTTGATGTGATGGAGAACCAGAGTTAAGGGGAAGGACTCTGTGGACTGAGCCATAGCTGGGACCTTCCACCTAGGCTTCATGCTCACCCAGTGGGATGATCTTCTTGGTTTGGTGTCAGTGGAGAGGAAGGTGACAGGATGTTGAAAGTGTGAGAGACAGGCTGTGTGCAGTGGCTAACGCCTGTAACCCCAGCACTATGGGAGGCTGAGGCAGAAGAATTGCTTGCATCCAGGAGTTCGAGACAGGCTGGGCAACATAGCGAGATTTTGTTTCTAGAAAAAAAGAAAAAAAAGTGTGGGAGACCTCATCATCTCCAGGCTGTTGGACTTGTGTCTCATTCCTCCACAACAAGGCTGTGCTGTCCTCCCTCATTCTTGTTCTAATAATTTCTAATTGTATCTCTTCTCACAACCAAAATTTCAAACCAGAGAACATTTGCAGATTTTCATCTTCAGTATGTAAAGCTCTGCGGTAGTGGAAGTGGATCAAAGGCTTTCAGAGTTGGTGGGACTTGGACATTCTAATTCAAACCCTAGCAAATGTGAGACGCCCCCTCCCACTGAGCCAATGGACAGCTGGTGAGCAAGGTCCCTCTCCATGTCTTCAGGGACAGGAGCTTGTTCCCTCTCTAGGCAGTCCATTTCCATCCTGGCTGGCTTTAATCATCAGATCCACCACTGATCAAGAGCAAAAAAGTCACCATTTGCTAAGCTTTGACAATGAAAAATTTTAGCCTTGAGGCACACAACATAAAATTAGCACCCGAATTGACTCTATTATTCATGATGCTGCTTGTTGAGGGGTGTATCCACCACCTGTGGCTTCCTATTTAAACAAATTATTCTGCTGTCTCAATGCTAAATGCAGCTACTTCTATGCCAACAATAACATTTTAAAATGCTCCATCGTTTAAAGGGATTTCGGGTACTTTTGGGTCACTGCCTTAACCCAGAGGCAAAAAGCCTCTACCTGGGGCATCTTAAAACAAACTCTTTCCTTCTTTCCCCTGACCCTTATGCTGGGCACAAAGGCCCTGCTTTTTATGTGTAGCTCATTTATGCGTTTGCGGTTATCTTTTTGTTACAGCTTTGTTGAGCTGTAATTCACATACAATATAATTCAACAATCTGAAGCTTGCAGTTCAGTGGTTTTTAGTATGTTCACAGACTTGTGCAGCTTCACCATCATCTAATTTGTTTATTTGTTTATTTATTTATTTATTTATTTTTGAGACACAGTCTTACTCTGTCTCCCAGGCAGGCTAGTGTGCAGAGGCACAATCTTGACTCAATGCATACAGCCTCAACTTTCCGGGCTCAGGTGATCATCACAACTCAGCCTCCAGAGCAGATGGGACTACAGGTGTGTGCCGCCATGCCCAGCTAAGTTTTGTATTTTTTGTAGAGACGGGGGTCTCATTATGTTGCTCAGGCTGGTCTCAAACTCCTGGGCTAAAATAATCCTCCTGCCTTGGCCTCCCAAAGTGCTGGGATTATAGGTAGAGCCATTGTGCCTGCCCATCACCATCAAATTTAGAATATTCTCATCTCCCCAAAAAGAAACCCCACGCTCTTTAGCATTCACCTCCATTCCTCCCCACCCTAGGCAACCACTAATCTACTTCCTGTCTCTATGCTTTGTCTGTTGTGCACATGTGATACAAATGGAATCAGAGGGTACCTGATCTTCTATGACTGTCTCCTTTCACTGAGCATACGGGTTTCAAGGCTCATCTACACCCAACATGCATCAGTAATTCATTCCTTTTAACTGTAACATTAGATTGTATGGATATGCCACATTAAAAAAATCCATTCATCATTTGGTGGACATTTGTTTTGTTCCCACTCTTTGGCTATTATGAACAATGCTGCAGCGAATGAGATCATCAGTCCTGAACACCAAGCAAAACTTGTTCAGACCATCTCTTCCCATGATCATGAGTGATGATAACAGCTACCTGCCTACCCCACTGGCCCCAAGACTTAATGCCACTGCTCAGGGTCTCGGGTCCTTCTCTGAGTTATCCTGCACCATGACAAGTAGGGGGGCTGACCCTCACTCCTGGCCCACAGGGAGTGTCTCCTCCTTCCCTGGTTCACTCTCCAGGAAAGGCGGTTTGAGGCAGAGTTGTCTGGGTAGGGCAGGCACCGCAAACATGTTGTTCCCTTTTGTTGGGCAGGCAGCTGTGTGTAGACCACAATGCCTTACAAGGAGTTGTACCTGTGGGCCCGCCCCAGTCTGGTTCTCTCTTCCCTCACCACTTGGCCCTAGTCCCAGGGGCCTTCCCCTTCCGCCTTTAACCCCAAAGTCCCAGGCAGGGGCCATCAGAGAGGCCAACTCTGGCCTCTTCTCCTGCACTCAGGCTGGGCTTGGAGCATCTGGGGGAGGGTTTGGCTGGGGTCTCTGGGCAATAGAGAGCTGACAAATGAGACACAAACACTTCTGGCCCTGGACTGTTCTGGGCTGCCCCAGAAAAAATGGGCTTTCCCTGACTGGTTATGGTCTGGGTCAGCCCTCCAGCCTGCATACTGCAGGGTCCCTGGAAACCCCCTTTGTCCTCACCTTAAACAAGAGACACTCCTAGAACCAGGGATCCAGAAAGGTGGGGTGGAGGGGACTGAAACGTCAGGAAGTGCTTTGGAGTGATGTTTTTTTGCTCCTTGTGCTGCCTAGGAGCAGGACCTGAGTGCCTCCTGCTCCCTCTAAC